GGGGGGGGGGGGGGGGGGGGGTGGATGTGGGTGTAGAATAATTTAAAGAGATGATCCACACCCACCGAAAATACTCTACACCCATACCCACACCCACACCCACCCACCCACACACCATTCTCCGCTCACACTAAAGCATATGACAATTCGCTTTTGTTTTAAGAATATTTACTTTTCGATGCTCTATTGAATAATAATTCGAAAACTTTAATTTAAGAATTTATATATTTGTGTCAATAAGGAAAAAAAAGAAATTACGGAATTGTCAATGAAAAGAAATTACTTATATCTTGCTATTGCTTGTTCTTACTCTTTTTCTTCGATTTTAAACGTTTTTTATTCCCAAAAGCCAACAACTGGCGTTAACGACGTAACGAGCTGTGCCTGCTGAATCCCAGTTACAGTACAGTTTCGTAAAACCACAATCTAAGCATAATCGTCCTTCTGTTGACGTCAAAGGTGGATCATATACAGCAATACTAGAATTGCCATCGGTAGCTGTTGCTATAGTGATAAATATCGTACGACTTTCTGATGTTGAATATACTGGATGACATATGGTGATACCCTCGAATAAATTTGTGATTCCGGTAAAAATTTCATGTTGACCGAAATTTCCGGTTTGCTGATAACCGTTTTCTTTGTATGTCATTGTTTTTCCACCATAATAGTCTCCTTCGACAGTAATACCAAATTTTGTTCTAAGAAATTCAGATGCATGACATACGTATGGTGTATTATCGGCGAATAAAAAAATAGCACCACCAGCTGAATGAAAAGCTGTTAAAGCTGAAATAAATTTCGAATTTTGAATTTGAGTAGAACTGATAATCCATGCAATTTGATAACGATTTGAAGCAAGTTCTGTTATACATTCATCTTCAGCCATTACATGTTTCACTTGAAATCCTTTGATCTTCAGTGCATCAATTGGCTTCTGTATGTCAAAGTTACAAAACTGTCCAATTAAAATATTAAATCCCATAAATGCTCCATCTCGACCCAAATCGTATTCTCTTCCTGTTGGATTACCGTACCGATCATATCCATTAGCATCAATAATATTACTTTTGCCTGCGACCTCGTTATATGGTTGCAATAGCGGTGAAGTAGTAGATGATGATGTACTTGGTTTAACTGTTCTTTTCTTAGATGATGTACGTTGTTTAGCTGTTCTTTTCTTCTTTTTGGTGTACTTTTTTCTTACAGCACTTGATATAACTGTTTTCGTTGTATTTTGTGATGGCAGTTGACGTGCTAACGCAGCACGAGTAATGGCTACCATTATCTGATTGACAATGAATTAAACAAGTTAAAATGAATTATAAAGTGAAGAACCTCAAAACGAGCTTTTCTAAAAAAGTCGATATGAGAAAAGTCATGCACTAGGAAAAATATATATCCCGCCGATTGCACCAATTGATAGTTCTGGATTATATTGATAATTAATCTACTTTTAGAATGAATTGTACAACATCTGCGAAATAAAGCGACAGTTTATATAGTAAGAACGTGGTGTGGCTATTGTGCAATAAGTAATTTCACAACACTAGTGAACTATTGTGCAATAAGTAATGTCACAACAGTGGTGTAACTTTTTCTTTTCCTATAGTTTATTGTTGTCCAAAAAATTTAAGTTAACTTAATATAAACACATTGCGAAAAAAACCAGCTTTCTTTACCGACATATATAGAAAATGACAATATCAAAGATGTTAAAATAAAGAGAACACAAAATAACTTCATAGTTCGGTTTACAATCGGTTAATCCTTGTTTCTTCCTATTACTCGTTAAGATGCAAATATCTCTAGGAAAAAAATCGAAATATTTCATGTTGTCATTTTAAATAGAGCAATAATCTAGAAAATAATATATATATATGAATTACTCTTTAAAGAGTATCACCTAAATACTCAAATCAAAGGAATTAGGGTAGAAGTATGTACTTACACATAAAATCTCTCAAATCATTCTTCGATGTCCAGTAATAATTACCTAGTTTTTCTTGAATATTCAAGAAATTAATCAGATCTGAATACATATGTGTAGCTCTATGCATTAGGGTCTCTTCGAATTTGCTGTTCTTCCTAAAATCCATACTTTTATAGTACAAAAATCTACAATCACATAGTGTAACTATAAGATAGGATGGAAAAGTTTCTTTAATATATGATGCTTCAGTGGCTTTATCAAGATGACTTTTCATCTTTTTCCAGTATATAAAACTACAATCTATAAGTGTTTTTCTCTCCTTGGAATTAATCTCGTGTGATCGCCGTATTCCCACAAGATATATATACTACTCGAATTCTTGAATTATATCCATGTTCAACATCTCTTCTTTGCTTTTGTGTAAACATAAATCATAATATGAACATCCATATAAAATATGGAAGGGCAAAAGTAAGGAATAGTAACCTGCGAGTTATACACACTTCTTGGAATATTACGATAGATTTTTCTGAGTTATACGTGATTGTATGTACATACCCATTTTCAATTTACATCTTATTTCAATTTCTAAGTATTTAAATGTAGATACAAATTCTAGTTCTTGTTTTTGGAAAAATATATTTAGGTATGCAGAAGCAATGGTATGATGAAAGAGCATAACTTTTGTTTTGTCTGCATTAACTAGTAATAGAAAATCTTCAGGAAATTTTTCTAGTGCTACATAGCTATTTTAGCTTATTTTTCTACATATATGATATTTTCTAATAACCTTTTTTCTAATGACCCTTTAATCAAGATTGCCAGATCATGTGTATGGTGTGGGGTGTGGGGTGTGGGGTGTGGGGTGTGGGGTGTGGGGTGTGGGGTGTGGGGTGTGGGGTGTGGGGTGTGGGGTGTGGGGTGTGGGTGTGGGTGGAATCAAATATTAAAAGAATCGATACGAATCGACACCCACACACATCTCACACGCATACCCGCAAATCAGCCAACACCTTCTATCAGTGTCGTAGGTTGTATTGATCGTAGGCAGCTTGCACGGCAAGTTGCAACTGCATCAATGGTTGTACTCAAGAATGATACTCCTTCACTGCAAGAATCTTCTCTGATGCCTCTTAATAGAGCAAATGTCAAAAAAGTGACAGCTATTGGAAAGCTAGCTAATTCCCAACAAATTGTTGATTGGGGCTCATTATGGGTCCGCGATTCTCATATAGTATCACCTCTAAGTGCATTTTATCAAGATACTTCATTCATAACTCTCTACAACGACGGTTCAAGTATTCGAACTGCAGTCGAGGCTGCCAAAGAAGCCGATGTAACAATTGTTATTGTTGGCTATGCAGGACGTGATGAAGGTGAATATTTCATTTGTATCGATGAAGAAGGCAACAAAAAAGTTTTATCGGGTCGGTGGAGTAATTTACCGACACGAAAACTGCTCTCTGAACTCAACTGATTGATGGAAGCAATGAAGATTAAAATTGGAGGAGATCGTCGCAACCTAGCCTTAAATGAACATGATATTGCCCTTGCAAAAGCGGTTGTCAGCATGAACAGTAAAAGTGTTCTCATACTTGTTGGCAGCAGTGCTATCATCCTCGACAAAGAACTACGAGAGAAATTTACTAGTATACTCTATGGATGGTACTGGGGTTGTGAAGGTGGAAATGCTTTACAAGACGTATTATGGGGAAATGCAGAATCATGGGGTCGACTACCATTCGTTATACCAGCATCAGGAAAAGATCTTCGTAGATGGGATCCAGATGCTCGTGAAGTGACTTATGATCGATGGTGGGGCTATCGACTACTTAATTGTCAAAAGAATACTCCCGTTTATCGATTTGGTTTTGGTTTGGGATATGGTCAACATGAATTTACAGATTTTGTGTGTCCAGAGATCCTCGACTCCCGCACTTTTCATTGTAGGGTGACTGTGAAGAATATGAGTAATCGTGACTCTTCAATAGCCGTACAGATTTATGGTGCCAAGGAGGGTGTGGGGGTGTGGGTGTGCGTGTGGGGGTGGGGGTGGGGGTGTGCGTGTGCGTGTGCGTGTGGGGGTGTGTGTGGGTGTGGGTGTCAATGGAAGAAACACATCCACACTCACACCCACACCCTCAATCCACGCCCACACGCCTACACCCACGCGCACACGCCTACACCCACGCCCACACCCACACCAACACCCTCACCCACACCTTCACCCACACCCTCACCCTCACACCCACACACACTCACACCCACACCCCCAGCGAAGATGACAGCAACTCTGACGATGAAAATGTCTCTTCTCTCAATGACTCAGATACTAACAACAGCGACGATGATCTATCCCCATGAACATAAGTTTAAAAGAATTTCTCGTGTCTACCTCTTCATGTACACATTTAATAAATAAACATGTCGATCTCATATCGGTTAGGTAGACCAAGGTCAATACTGCTTCGACTCTCATCGACAACAAAAGCTCACTAGTGGCTCCACAGGATTAAATCATCCAAGTATCAGTCATCAACCATCAAAGCATCGTACCATTTTGTAGAGTTTTTCAAGCTCTATCGAATGGCATACAAATCATCTTGAAGCAAAAAAGTTATCTTATACAGGTATAGTGGAAGAAAACCTGAATCGCACGGATTTTGCTAGATTTTCCACAATATTGTTCCTATAGTCATACAGTTTTTTCGACCTGAAAACACTACCATTTTGTAGAGCTTTTCAAGCTCTATCAGATGAGATGGTTTTTCAGGTTTTCGGAAGATTTTTCTAAGGGATGATAGAGGTTTCATTTTAGATATTCATGTTAGTCTTCTATTAAGTAACATTATATATTTGGTCCATGAAGTGTTTATTGAACTCTTTAATTTTTTGGTAAAAATACTCAGCGCATTTTTTGGGTAGTTCTGTGTATGTTTTCAATATCTTGCAAAGGAGAAATAAAATACATCGATCGGCTTGCTTATACATTCCCGCCTTTTCAATCTGTGCAATTGAATGACTTAGGACAGTGTAACTATTATAGTGAGACGCCGCCTGTAATGATGATGTATAGTTTGTCTGTCCCTGTTAAACATTTAACGCTGTATCGCATTGTATTGTTTATCGACTTATTGCTCATTAGCTGATCGTTCACTCAAACAATATCATGAGGTCTATGCTCTCTCATCACTGTTATTAGTGTTGTCTATCAACTGTTTCCTTTTTCTCTATGTCTCTCTGTGCTCACTTTCTTTTCCTTCTTTGTCTCGCGTATATAAACGGATGTTTTCTTTGTAAACGATGCGATTGTATGATATGAAAGAAAGAAATCAAGCGTTATATCATCTTCACTCATTCTCATTTGATCAGAAACTCGTCACATACATATTAATGTTCCTTCAATGCTGTGGTTGAGACAAAAACTACAATAGAAATAATGTGTCGTTTTCGATATGAAGCATAACTTCAATGTTTACAATAAAAATCTTAAGTAAAACTTACATTTACATTTTATTTTCAACAGCAACGTGTACAGAGTATATTGAAATTGATTTGTTTTATTGAGCAAAAAAAATGAGAAAACAGTTAATGTAGATTTCGGCCACACATTACGCTCTCAAGTTTTTACAATTCTTTGCATGAATTTCTCTAATATAATAGATCTTACAGTTTCGAAGTTTCACCTATAAAATTCAAGTTTTAAAGAGAAAAAGTATGTTCGTAATGTACTGTTATTTTCGGTGCTCTTGAAAGTGTTAAATATTCTATAACAAATCATCTCATGAAATAGCATGGTCGAGTGCTCGTTTATATTGTAGAGTCTGGAGTATCTACTAACAAGGACGGATTTTAAAAAGTGTCGTTCTTTTATAGAGCTAGTAATGAAATACTATGATCATGCACTTGCCAAATAACACTCACTAGTTTCTTCGAAAATATACATGAGCTCCATAATCAGGGTAATAATGTATCGAAGAATCAAAAAACAATTTTAGTTCAAATTCGGTAATAATGTATCGAAGAATCAAAAAACGATTTTAGTTCATATTCTGAATTGTGAAGCGTTAAAAATAATCTATTTTAAGTGCGTTTTTAGATTTATTACAGAATAGAGTCAGCAAAAAAAATAGAGTACTATGGCTTCATAATTATTGCAATAGTACAGAATTCGCTAAGAATATTGAGTCATTTTTTTGTGTTCAAGTTAGTCATTCCAACAGTTTGAATAAAACTGCGTCATAAGCTCATTCAGGAGCTTCTTTCTCTTCTCTGGTGATGCCGATTTCAGATGTTCATTTTTGTATTGTTCATGAATTGCCCAAAAGGCGTTCCATCGTGATTTTTTGTCTCCAGTAAACATATGATATTTTCCGTCGTTTTTCCAAAAATGTTCAAAAAACTTATCCTTCTTCATAAATTCATTAGCCATAGCAATGCCTAGTCCCACTGGTAAATCATGAAAGTCATCTTTTAAACCTCCATACTCTTTATTTTGATGATGGTCAATAATGCGACGACGTACAATCTCCAATAGAAAAAGAAGCATAACTTCTGGATCTTTTGAACCCTTCTTTGGTGGCTTCGATTTGTAGGGCAATGGTTCACGTATTGAATGGCGTAAAGTGTGATTTCCCGGTTGATGTGAATTGCGCCTGGCGTCATAATTCGATATAATATGAAATGTTTCCTTTCCAAAACTAACTACCAATTTCAGTGCATCATGATCATTCAATGATGGAAGCGCTTTATATTCGATTTCATACTTTGATCCATTTGCTAAAGATTCACCACGGCGATCTAATTTGCTTTGTTGCATTGTTATCAAGCTTAGAACTATAAATTTATATTCTTTTTCTGAAAGTTTAATTATGTCTTTCGTTTGGTTTTGTAGTACATGCTTATCGTTGAAACACTTGATAATTCTTTCTGACATTTTTGACAACCTATCTTCATAAATGTATTGCCAATATTTCCAAAAATCATCTTCAATTTCAGTGTAAAACGCTTTCAATATGTTGCGTTGTGCAGCATCAGTTTCATCCTAGATAAGACAAATAACTCGAAGTATAGGAAAATTAGTCTTTTTATTTTATTCAACTATTGATTAAATATTTTTAAAATCCTTTCCTAACTCTAGTCACTTAGAGTAGCTGCAGGAGTGGTCTAACCACTATTCTCCATGGGTGATGATCATTACACCATTATATCGCTTCCAAGATGATAATAAAGTCCAGGAGAATTTCATAAAAATCACTCTGTAAATGCCATAACTCATGGGGTTCGTTTCTTTTCAGATGATAAAACTGATATTTATAATAAAGTTTCCTTTCCGAATCTTCTTCGTTCAAAATTTATCAACGTTTTTCTGCTTTTACCCTTATACAAGTTGAGGAATTAAATACAGGGTGGCCCAAAAGTCACTTTATCGATAAAAAAATGTAATATCTCTGTTATGACTTGGCCAAGAGGGCTGATATTTTCACCAGTGATAGAGGTATGTCTGTGTTTTGTGTTCATAAGGACATTGTTAGAAAAAAGCCTTACTAAGTTGAACTACTAACGTCAATAAGAAAAAGTGGGCTTTTCAGTGACAAGAAAAAAACGATGTACAATGAAAACGAATCAATTGTCCAAAATAAAATATAACTGGCAAAACAAGCTTGTGACTGTTACATGCTGTTCGATTACATATCTTTTTTCTTTGCATTTTTCTTTCTCAATTCTATTTTAATTTACCAATTGACTCTTTTCATCGTACATCATTTTTTCGTGTCTTGGAAAATCCAACTCTTTCCCATTGAAGTTAGCAATTCAACTTAGTAAGGCTTCTTTCTGACAATGTCCTTATGGACATAAAGCACGAATATACCTCTATCACTGCTGAAAATATCAGCCGTCTTGGTCGAGTCGTAAGATCTTCGATTTTTTTATCGGTAAAATGAGTTTTGGACCATTCTGTACATTAAAAACTACCAGTTGTATTTTTTTTCAAGTTCGTTTCTCTTATACTTTTTATGGATTTATTTTGACTTGAGAAGAATAAAATTGTGAAATTTATTTAAATAAATCTTTTCCTGAAAATGTTAGGGTGTGGAGCAGTCTTTCTATTGAAAGGGCTTAAAATAAAGCCTCTAGCCTCTTAAAGAAGGTCTTGATACAAGCGATTAGTATTAGACCAATACTTACACTAAAATAGTCTGTCCCTCTATAGTCAAAATTTCAGATCTCGCTAACTTATTTTAGTTAATTTATTATTTAAAAAAACTTTTCAACTTGTATAACGGTAAAAATAGAAGAACGTCGATAAATTTTGAACGAAGAAGATTGGGAAAAAATCCCTTTAAATTTTTTTACTATCTCAATATACTCAACTAAATGAGATAGGAATAAATGAAAACGGAAGTTGTCACTTAGATAGTTCCCTCGCGACAGATTTTCATTAATGATAAAATACTTCATTTTCAAAATAACGTGTTTTTATGACTGAGCTCCGAGCTGTGGAAGAAAAAGGGGTGAGTATACAATCTAAAGACTTTTAAATGCTTATCTAAGAAGTTTAAGTTGTTTTTTTCTTAAAAATTAGGCATTTTTTGGAGAATTTCAGAGCGGTTTGAAGCAGTTTGGCATTAAATCAAACAAGAAATATGCTTTCATCTACGAACATTGTTCTTTTTAGCTTTACTTTTTGTTAACAAGATGACATATATTAATGAAATAATAGATGCAATTTATTTTACCGATGTTCGTTAAAAAAGCACATAACTTACTGTGTTTGAGGTGTTATCTTTCGCAGTCGTTGCTTTCGGAATGACATTTTTGTCTCCACTCTCACTTGGCGATCGCAAGTTCACTTTAACATGTTTATTCTGACGATTTGATGGTAGTGATGAAGCTTCTGAGGATCTTGAGTCGAGTCCAACAACAGATACCCGCTCCGCGAGAAGTTCAATAATTGCTGAAGTAGGTTTTTCTTCATCATTGAACGACATTCTCTTAAAATTGACTGTCTACAAAAAAAATTTTCAATTAAGATGAGCAGTATAAAAGAGATCGAAAACTAAGTAGAGCCATTAAAATTCTACGAGTTCTTACAACTCCTGAACTCTTAGAAGTATGCAGTAGTGTCAAAACTGCAACTTGAATTCAATTAAAGCAGGTCTTCCTCAGGTTTCAAGTTTAACACTTATTCCGTTTTCGTAATATCCTCCATAAGAGAACGAAATTCTGTACACTATAGTTCTTTTCTCAAATTCTATTCTGTAGAAAATTGAATTTAAAGAAGTTAAAGCATTTTCAAACTTTTATGATTCATGTATCGAATTTCTATTATTTAGAAACTGCTCGGTTATAATTAACGCTTGAATACCAATATTTTATTTTCAAGTAGAGGTTCTTTATTGAGTTCATATGGCCATTCTGTTTTTCACGGTTCATGCAACATATTCTGAAAACATGATTTGAATCTATGTAACACCGCATCTTTCATATTTTATTGGAAAATTAAATTATAATATTTTTTTTAAATATTTTCCATTCAAAAACTCATGTTCTAAAAATTATACCGGGTCAGATCTAAAGATCCGATCCAACTAGAGTGGGTCCAATATATATATATCAGATCGCTTCAGAGCTGTCCTCGCTCAATCATTGATCAAGATCGTCAGTTAACTTCTGGACTAGTAGATAATGAAGAAACAGTCCATAAGAAAAATAAAATGAAAATATATAAATTTCGTATGTTTAGTCAAATTATCTATATCTAGCTGAACGTGCAAAAACAAATGAAATAATGCTTATCTTTACAGAAAAAACGATCCCCACAAAAGAATGAAATTTTATTTGTCTCAAAATCTTATGTGTTTATGAGCGGAAACATGAATTTTATATAGGAAAAATGATTCACTCCACGATGAAAGTGATGTGGAAAAATGAAATAAAGCTAACGTTGAGCGTGAAAATGATTCGTTAAGAAATAAACGAAATTTTTTTTCCTCAACATCGTGTATGATCATTAACCGAATGATGGGATAGCTATAGCGACAATGACTTCTTATATTATAAAAATCATTGGGAGAAATGAAACAATACATACATCGAGCGGAAAAATAATTGTCAAGAAAACAATAACATCGTACTTTCCTTAAAGTGTTTTGTGCTGTTTAGCCGAACAATGAGATATATATATACAGAAAATCCTTTCCTGCATTATGAAAATCTTATGGAAAAATTGCTTTCCAGGAAAGAATAACATTTTCTCTTCCTCAACATCCTAAATGATTATTATCCCAGCGATAAGACTTCCAGACGGAAAATAATTTTCTACATCATGAAACTGATATGGAGAAATGCAATAATGCATACCTCTTGTAGAGAAATAATTCTCGACGAAAGAACAACATTTTCTTTTACTCAACGTCTTATATGTTGATCAGCCGAACGATAACATAAAACAATATATGAATATTATAATTGCTTGTGCTTCAATATGTGTTATGAAATCAATTGGAATCCTATAGTCGACGCATTTCGTGTTATATATTAAGATCTAAATACTCATCAGGTCATTGCGTTACATTTTGAAGCAGAAAAAAAAATTAAATGATTAGAAAAACAGGAAAATAAATACAAAAACAAAAAAGTATTAAGCATTCATTGGCCAAAAATAGGAACAAAAATCAAAAAGATGAGAAAAGTGCTTATTGCTCAAAAAACGAATAAATCATAAAAATTTTTATGCTGGACATAAAAAATGAAAAATCTAAAATACTTTTCGGCATGAAAAGAAATGTATGTTTCTACAGATAATAAAACTGCGTTTTGGTACAAAAATCATACGGAATGAAAAATTTAAAAAGAAAATTACAGAAAAAAGAGTATCATTTTGACATGGAACACTATCTGCTACAGCTTTACCCGACCGAGAGAAAAGCAAAAGAAGAAAGCTTTTGACATTGCAAAAACTCATTTTGTCGAACTAAAAGAATGTTCCATAGAACGAAATGTAATTATTTAGATGACTATGAAAACGAAAAATATTCCTTAATTATGATTATACAAAAGAAAATTTACGGATTTAATGACAGTAGAATGTTTTATAGTTCAACTACGTCAAATGTTCGAACATAAAGGACCCTGCCGGATTTCTCAACTTATTCATTTCGAAAAACAAAATACAGGGTTTTGTAGAGCTTGAAAAGTTACATCTGATGGTGTATAAATCAGATTGGTTCCTGTTCAATTTTAAGAATTTCTCCTATATGGAATATCGAAGAGGTATGATCAAATATTTAGGTTCAAAGCATTAGACTATCATATGGAAATGACTCTTATCAGAATATGATAACAATTATTGTCTTACATAGTTTTGTAGACCTTTTTTCGCTCTACAATTTTGCTTATTTCATTATCTTGTTTTAAAGAAAAAAAATTTTTTTTTAATTGAAAATATTTAAATTTTTAATGAAAAATCTAGGATTTCAATTTTTTTTAATATTTTTGTGGTCTTTCATTGTTCTTCAAGACCTAGTGGCACCAACGTGATTTTTTCTCAGAAACTGCA